CAACTGTCAGCGGGAATAGCAACAGCAAAAACACAGCGGCGCCGGCAACGACAACGGCCGCAACAACGATGGTTCATAGCCACGCGCGGGATATGAGCAGCAAAGGAGGTGTGACGCAGCGTTATTATGGACGTCGCAACGGCACGGCGGCAAGTCGAAACGGCGAAAGTGGTATTGCTGGTTGTAGCGAGTTGGACGGTTGCGAGGATGATTGCGATGGTGAAGCTGGCGATGCAACTGCATCGGCGGCGCGATACCCCAGCAAGGCTGGCAATAGTTCGCAGGATGCGCCGAAGAGCACATTTGGCGCGGTCAGCAAAGTGCCGGCTAGCTTACAATTCTTATTACAACGACAAACCTCCGAGGAATACACAGATTCACAGTCGCAATATTTCAGCGATAATCTGCGCATACTCGAGACCAGCATCGAGAATCTCGATCGCCATTTGAAAAATTTTCCAAGTCTAAGTTCGCACGAACGTATTGCTGCCTTTGTACAGACCCAGCATCATCATCATCATCACCACGCATACCTGCCGATGCCACCGCACGCGTTGGATGTTAGCGGCGGCGATAAGTTGGCTAGCCGTGTACCCCAACATCCGCATCATTATTTGCCCACCATTATGGAGGGCTACGATCCCGCCAATCAACCGCGTCGCTCATGGCCCGACGATATGGTGGACGATTCGCTGCTCGACATAGACCTCGACTCATTTTTGCTAGTCAATGAGCGCACTGCTGGCGGCAAGTTGCGCAAGCCACAGCAATTGCGCGATGGTGGCATCGACAATCCCACTTTTCTCACCGATGAGCAGGAGGAGGAGAATAATTATAAGTGTGCAAAGTATATAAACTCCTGCCCTGACGATGCATATCGCGTCGAAAGTGATATCGTTGCTGGTACGGGCACTGTCTCGGAGAAGTCAGTTTCGGTCGCAGACCACTATATGAAACGCTATGAAGATCAGCTGCACTTCCAGAACACGCGTGAGCTGCTCGAGGATGTGCGCGATAAGATACGTTTGCTCTCACAGGCGAGTGGCAGCGCCGGTACCCACAGCCCCGATGCACATTTGAATAATCCTGCGGCGCCTGCGCAGCAACTGCCACATGAGCTGGAAGGCATGATTAAGACGCTGAAAAACGAGTTGGAAAACTATTTGGATCGCATGAACCAGCACAGCGAATTGGAAATACGTCAACTATGCAGCGGGCTTGTAAGAAATCACAATATCGTAAAAATGAAGAAGGCCTTCGAGCGTCGCCGTTCGACGCACAGTCTCGGTACGATCGAGTCGGATTACGGCTACATCGCCGGCAACTACGAGGCAATCTGCGATGGCGTGCCCTTAAGTATACGTGAACAAATCGCCTCGATACGCTGCGCGAGTGATCCGAATTTCAAAATGAAGCGAAAATCCCTGACTGAGGTATTTCCCGTCACCAATTGTTATGCAGAGTCGGAAACTTTGCAACGCGTATCGTCACAAACGTCGCTAGCGCAGCAGCAACGTCGTCCATCGCTACCGCATCGCGATCGTTACACCGCCGAGCGTAGACAGCGCGAACGTGATCAAAATGTGATAACCTTGCATGTGCCCACAACGCAATTGCAACGCAATCTCTCATTCCAGCAGCCGGTATTGAGTAAATTAGACGCGAAAACATTATCAGCGCCACCGGCGGATGCCGAAATCGGCGGTAAAGGTAAACCAAATGGTGGCGGCTGCAATTCGGCTGGTAATGGTAGCGGCGCGGAATCGGGCGAATCAGGTGATAAGGACTCAATTTTGGAATGGCATCGAAAGAAGCCGAGCATTTGGGAAATGTACTATGGTACGAATCGCATGAATCAATCGCTGTTGGGCAAGCGTAATGCCATGGCCGCGAACAACAGCAATCAAGTCACAATGTCTTATGTAAGTAGAGAAAAACTTTTTATTTGATACTTATGCATATTTGTAGCTAAATAGTTAACAAATTATTAGATCTAATTAATAAATCAAATAATCTCTTGCACATGATTTGAGACTTCCAAGAACGGGGATGAAAGCCTTGACTTACAAGAAATAAGTCGATAAGTGAACAAAAAGTGAAATCGCGAGATATTCTGCTTATATATACGGCAGACAGATCCCACTCCATTTGGGTTATATGCAGTAAAGTTATGGATTTCACCGGATTCCGACTACCACAACTGTTTGGAAAATAAAGGGCAGAATAATCTCAAAATTTTCTCATATGCTCTTCGTCTTTCGGTAGGCTGAGGTTTAACTGTCTCACCTCCTGGAACTGGTATCAGCCTGTTGCTTAACTTCTTTCTAAGCATACTCTGTTTTTATATTTAGAATAGTGGTAATCGTTTAGAAAGGTCAACCATTTAATGGTCCCACGCTCGTCGCAATACCTTAACTTAACCTGGCTTTGAACGAAGTAAAGGCATCAAAAATCGATAAGATACATTACATGTACATACATTGATATCCGGATTTCACCCTCATAGCAGCTCGAATGGTTTCCGTTGGCGGTCTGCCGGTCAAAACTCCCGGTGTAAGATCGCTGGTCATTTTTGTTGAAGTGGCGCCTTCAAAACATGATGCCGTTATCCTACAAAATTTTTCCAGCTGGAAAGTGAATTACCGTGGCCGCTCCTCAATTCTTATTAGGCTTCGTCTGTGGGAAGGAACAGGCTAAACTGCGGAAGCAGGCAATTGGAACAACTAGGAATACAACAGTCGTTCAACCTACCAGATCATTTAATTTATCTTCCAAGCAGAACTTCTGGATTAGAGGAGGCTGTCGACTGTGTACTGACAATGCTATTTAAACTATTTTCCCAGATAGTCAGGTAGCTCCTAGAGCTCTAAACTTTTGTCACAAGTAGGTCATAAACTGTAGAAAATTTCCGTAGATCACTTCAGGTGATGGCAGATCAGCTATGGATGCTGGAACTTTAGAAGTACACATCTTTGAAATTTTGTCATATAGAAAGAGTTTAAGCATGCGAATCGTCACTTTTAATCTAAATATACTACGATTCTTCAATTCAAATCACTTAGAATGGCTTCGTCGGATGCTACAAAAACGAAGAAGATCCTAAATACGAATTCGAATGTCTCGCGTTCGGAGTAGGAGACTAGGGACTGTTTTCTCGACTGCCTGTTACATTTATTTAATTCGACTGCTTTATCAATCATATGCATATAATAGACAGTCGATGTGTTTAAAGGGAAGTTAAATTTAACAGGCAGTCGATAAAATGGCCCTTAGGTTCATGGGCGGTGAAACCATTGAAACCCTCAGCTTAAATTAATCAATTCCGTATGTAGGTATAGAGAGTAGGGAACGGGCATTCCCAACTTAAAAAATGATGCCTTTTACTTACATCTGAATCGATTTGGATTATTTTAAGAAGCAATTAATTTTCTCAAAAATACCTGCAATATTTTAAACAATTTGTTGTCTTTTGCCAAATTTCTGGCGCCATAATCATTAAAGTTTCCTGTAATTGAAAAATAATTCCATCAACCAGGCAGTGTCCATAATTAGAGTTGAGCTTAAAAAATCGCCAAGAATATTACAAAAAAAACAAACTTACACAGCACTTTGTCAACTACTCGCCACAGCATGATTTTTTTTTTATTATTAATGGCACTACTTCACAGCTACATAAAAATTATTTGTGTAAATTTGTATAATACATATAAAATAATTAATTTTCATAAATTTATCAGTTGAATAATGCAAAAGCGCTTGAGTGCGTGGCTGACGGCCGGCGAACTGACTCACTGAGTGGTTGGCTGAGTGACGGCTTGAGTAGCCTACTGAATAAATAAATAAGTTGCTTGCATTCTATGGTAAAATTAGTTGCAACGTGTGCATGTGGGCTACATACATGCCGTTTTTTGTTAAATTTAAATTTTTTGCCACTTTTTTTACAAATTCTGTTGAAATTTTAATGCGTTAATTTCAGCCGTTCTTATGCGAAACATGTCAATAATCCCGCAAGCATAACAATTTGCATAGTTTTTATATTCTAAGCAATTTATTTTTTAATTTGAGTCATTTGTAACTTTTTTATTACTTCTTTTTTTGATTTTCTTTAAGCTTTTTGCTCAAATAAGCTAAGCTGTGCAGTGCAATGCGAAAAATTGTCAATCAGAATTANTTTCCTGTAATTGAAAAATAATTCCATCAACCAGGCAGTGTCCATAATTAGAGTTGAGCTTAAAAAATCGCCAAGAATATTACAAAAAAAACAAACTTACACAGCACTTTGTCAACTACTCGCCACAGCATGATTTTTTTTTTATTATTAATGGCACTACTTCACAGCTACATAAAAATTATTTGTGTAAATTTGTATAATACATATAAAATAATTAATTTTCATAAATTTATCAGTTGAATAATGCAAAAGCGCTTGAGTGCGTGGCTGACGGCCGGCGAACTGACTCACTGAGTGGTTGGCTGAGTGACGGCTTGAGTAGCCTACTGAATAAATAAATAAGTTGCTTGCATTCTATGGTAAAATTAGTTGCAACGTGTGCATGTGGGCTACATACATGCCGTTTTTTGTTAAATTTAAATTTTTTGCCACTTTTTTTACAAATTCTGTTGAAATTTTAATGCGTTAATTTCAGCCGTTCTTATGCGAAACATGTCAATAATCCCGCAAGCATAACAATTTGCATAGTTTTTATATTCTAAGCAATTTATTTTTTAATTTGAGTCATTTGTAACTTTTTTATTACTTCTTTTTTTGATTTTCTTTAAGCTTTTTGCTCAAATAAGCTAAGCTGTGCAGTGCAATGCGAAAAATTGTCAATCAGAATTATATAATCACTTTGGGCATTTGTAATTGATATCTCAATTGACATGCCTCGCCGCACATACGCACACACACACACTTACACTGCCGGCAAAAAGTATTGGCACTGCAAATTTTTCACAATATATGCAACAATTTTTTTTTCTAATATTTTTCCGCCAAATTTTTATAAAAATATGGCTCATTAACAACAAAAAACATAAAAATATAATTCCTTAACTTTGTGCAAATCTCACGAAAATTCAGCTAATTTTCATACAAATTTTCAACTTTTTAATCAGATTTTTCAGAATTTTCTGGGTATGCTGATTTGTAGCCCAATTTTTGGCAATTTTTTTTTCACGCAGTCTCTTCCATACAACAATTTTTTTCGAAAATACTTTATATGCAAAAATGCTAAACACCTTCAACAAAAAAATCTCAAAAATCAATGCAATTTTTGACTAACTCCGAACATGCAGTTTTTTTACTAGAATTTAATGGGCTGCAAAACTGTGTACTTAAAAAAATCCTAAACTATCTGATTAAACAGTAGAAAATTTGCTGAATTTTCGCGAGTTTTTTACAAATTTTAGAAATTTAAATTTTTTTTTTTTGTAGAATGAACCATATTTTTATAAAACATTGGCGGAAAAAATATTAGAAACAAAATGTTTTCATATATTGTGAAAAATTTGCTGTGCCAATACTTTTTGTCGGCAGTGTACTATGTACATACGCACTTTAACATACATATGTACATATGTACATATATATGAATAAATGCTTAGATTAGCCGTATTTTCTGTGTTTATTTAAAATTACTTTAATTTCGCAATTGTTTTGTGGATTTTTTTTTTTGCTGTTGTTTTTTTTTTTGACATTTTAATGGCCAGTTAATAACTTCAATTATTTTAATTCGTTTACAGTTAGTTGTTCTTAACAAGCACTCATGCAACTGAATTTGACGCTTAGTGAAACAATTAAAATTTTTATTCGAAAATTGCAGTAGGTCAGGGACGCGAATTTCCAACTCCACCCTCTGCCTTCCGCTAATCAATGGTAACTGCATGAAGGCATATGTACATATGTATGTCTATATGTATTTGTGTGTATTAGATTTCTAACTGTGTTCGTTTTGAACATGTTAACACATACATACATACATATCCAACTACTTACTGCATCGCGTGGGATTTTGTTCAAAGTTAATTTGACCCACTAAAAAAATTTCAAATCTACTGGCTATACATACATACATTCATACATATCTACATAGGTACATATATAAGTATGCAAGTGCAAATTATTGTGGCAGCCTATTATGAAAATATTTTAATTACAAGTACCTACATATAAACACACAAATACATAGATATATATACATACTTATATACATCCATTTGTGTGTACTCACTCCTTTGCCCGAATTTGCTTGTCTATTGTAAGCACGTCATTCAAAATTGCCTGTTGCTTGTACTACTAACTAGTCGATTAGAAGGTAAACAATTTTCCGAAATTTTGCTGAAACTAGTTTGAAATGAGTTGGCAATTTTGTTGTAGAACATAAATAAACAAATTCAATTAATTTCGCAACACTCTATTTTACTATTTTTGATGGCGCCAGTCAGTAATACTCGTAAATAATGATTGGTAGAATTTTTCATTGAACAAAGTATACATAGGGAACATATTGGGTCTAGCGTATATGCCATCCACTTCAAATTGCACGTAGTTCATAGGAGCTTTCACTAAAATTGTGAATTTCGATATCATTAAATATATCTTTAGCTATGTCGATAATTTAACGACAACAATTCCGATATGAAAACAATTAATATGTTGATGAAAATATCGATACATGTATAAATAATGACGTCAATAAATTTATCGATAACCATAAATCCCAACCGAAATTGAGAAAAAAATCGATATTTCCCTCGATAACTTAACAGTAACCAATAAATAAATTGATGAAAATATCGGTGAATGCTTAAATAAGGGTTTCAATAAATATATCGACAACTAAAACAACAATTGAAATCGATAAAAACATTCATGATAATACTGATAACAACTTTATAAATGAGACGAGTGCAATTTTTTTTTAATTATTTGTATAACAATACTCCATCGATAGCTTAGCTTAATAAATACATAAATAATGTAATCGATAAATAAAAATTCGACAACTATTGCTGCCAACCGAAACCGATAAATACGTATGTACATATATCAGAGATAATATCAGATGTACGTCAACAAAAAGATCACAACACACACATACATAAATTCTGATGAAAACCCATATTTGTAATTGTGAATAAAATCATAACGATAACCATGTCCATAAATAGGGATAAATCGATACCATCAAGGTATTACTCAAATCAGTACTTGTACTTGTGTCAAACAAGGTATCGATATCTAATCAGTATCGGAAAGGTAGCGAGTACTTGTACATAGAACTACGATTTTGAATATTTTTCAAAGTTATTGCGTTTTTTTACCAAAAAATATTCATTTTTACTAGATATTTATCTTTTGATATTTGTTCATCCAAAAATTTAAGACACCAATTATTTTTGTGGAGTATTTGATTTCAAGAATAATAGAATAGAATACATTTTTAGAAGATTAATATATAAAGTTTTTTCATATAAAATAAGTCTAAGAAAGAACTTCGGTTTCGAGATTTTGATAAAAGATTCTCGTAAAAGACAGATGACCCAACAACCGTTATATATAGATGGGCTTGCTTATTTAGCTGCGGAAATGTGGTGCGCAAATCTTGCCATTCCGCTAATGGGCTGCTTTTCGAAGAAGATGCTGAAGCATAATAAGCTTTGCGCTTCCGATACGAGTACTTATTTTTCGATGCCTACTTGGATCGCAGTAAAAAGTATCGAGTACAAAAATGCTTGGTCAATTGAGAAAAGTATCGAGTATGTACTTGGATTTACTTGTATCGATTCATCCCTAACCATATATATATCGATAAGTTATCGATAACAATGACGATAACTTACCGTTAAATTAAGAATACAGATTTAGATAAATAGATGATTAGTTATATGTATCAATAAATCTGTACAACAATTTTAAATTAAAAGCTCGTGATTTCTAATACCACGCCAATTATTCATTTTTTTAACAATAAAATCGGTTACTAAAACTAGTATCGAGAACAGTTAATACATTTAGCTAAAAGTGATGCTGAGCTTCTTCTCTAATTTCTGGTGTGCGTCTTAATGTTGACGCACAAAATTGTGGGCTCTAACTTAAAGACGTTTCCGAACGCTAGATGGGTTTTTGTGAGAAACTTTTTCATAATAGAAATTCCCTCGGAGTCCTACATTCAGCATATTTCTATGTAGTGAGGCCTTGACGCCATCTAAATTCAAAGGCCGATATCCCTCGTAAAGGCTCATTTTTAGGAAAGCTAGGAAATTAGGAGATCCCAACCAAGGAATAATGGGCAGAGGGAACACCGTGCATGAGCACCCTATTCGGTTCTTACTGCTGGTTTCATGCTAGATTCTTCATTGTTGTTTATTTCAGCGACTGTATAAGAAGCCCTCTTATAAGTAATACATGTCTAGTGGCTGTCACCGGAAATAAATTAATCTATTCCGACAGTCAAGCTGCCTTAAAAGCAAAATTATTGAATACAAAATTGCGCATTCCTGGCGGCGATGACATTTCTCAAGTAAAAGAGCCTAACTTAGATTTAAAAAATAGAAATATTGTCTAAAATGCTAAGCTATTTACATGTGCTGTGCTTTATAACTTCCAAAATCATTATTTCTGCTGCCTTATAATGTTTAATGTTACTCTGATTCGCACAGTGTGTAGTTACGAAAGAAGTATTTGACACAAATTCTTATTAAAATTTGAACTTTTTTAAAGTAAAAAATTAAACTAACAAGATTTTAATAAGCCGCATAATGACAGCTTAAGGCTGACAACATTATTGGCGCCACCTCATAAAAATGGTTAGAACTTTTTTTTAATTAAAATTCCTACATAATGATGATAAAGTAATGATTTCAAATATTTTTTGTAAACATACATATAAAATGTCAATCAAGCCATAAATAACTGCTTAAAAATCTAACAGTCATACCAACTTGTTACAGAGATATGTATGTACATTAGGATGGTTCAAAAATGCATGCGAAAAAAGTAAAGCCCGAATTTTAATGCTCTCACCCCCTAAAATTGTTGTATGTCAATCAAATATACTACCGTTTTTTTTATTTCGAAATCAAAAAAAAATTTAATGTCGTTCTCCATGTCAAGGGAAAAGAACAATTAAAAACTTGTTAAATAAACAATTGGGTATTATTGTTGGAAGTCTCCTGAAGAGAAGCCGCCTTTTCTGATCCAAAAATATTGATTTTTAAGATTTCTATACCACTTCAACGATCTTTTTTCATATAAAATACATGGAAAGTTGTAAGCGCTGAGCGACTTCTAAATATTTTACGATTTCAAAATATATTCAACCACTTTATTTAGTTTGAAGCTAATTTACTAAGGTAAAAGTTATAGCTGCTCCTCATCAGACTTCTTTAATTGCGGTTACTGGGATATGAACCAAATAAAAAAAAAACCCTAGTTATATATTTTTTAGATTTAGAACAATCTTGGGGTGGGAGAGCATTAAAATTAGTTAAAATTCATACTTTACTTTTTTATTGACCACCCTAGTGTACAATCGTGCATTCATATGTGTCACTCACTACCACTCATTATATCTCTCGGCCAATCAATTTGTTGGTGGACAAAACCTACAATCAACAATCTCATTAGCATAGATTAAAATGCGCTGCAAGCCTGTTATACATATGAATATATGTATGTATGTATTGTGTCAAAAGAGGCTTGTGACAAGTGTTGAGCCAACTTCCGATTTATGCTAATTCGTGGCACTTAATTGCAGAGCATTTGTTCGAACTGAACCTGTTTTAAAGTATTCTAAGTTTTCGTTGAAATTTATAACTTAAGTAGGCATTCTATTGTTGATGGGTTAAAGCTGACCTTGTTGCGGTTAATAGCGTCTAAACAATTTGAATATTTATGCAAGTGAACAAAGAACTCAACACTCAGCACTGGGAAGCAAAAGTTCTTAAGTGGCTCAATAGCTAGGAATTTAGCTGCTCTGAGGCAAATGTTGTTGGAGTTTTTGGTTCGATAATGATTTAGTAAACAATGCGACAGAGCTTGAATAGTTTATGCTTGTGCAAGCCCCATAATGTAAAAGATATATGAGGAATGTAAAAACCAAAAAAAAAATATAGGGAAGGTTAAATACATATTTATATCCATATATATGTATGTGTACTCGTGCATAGGCATTATATTAAAACTAGTGAACCCGCTTGGCGTTAAAATGCCCAAAATTGAATTTCATAAACATAAAAAATATTCCAAATGTTAGTCAGAGTTATAACAGATCCGAGTGCCATATTTCATCAAAATCGTGCAGCTGTTTCTTAGTGTAGAGCAGTCTCGCATAGTTTTCATTTACATCGAATTTCAAATCACCCTACCCCGTTGAAAAAAGTTATTAATTAAAAAAATAAAACTTCTATTTTTACCTCTCATTTTTTAAATTCCTTTTCAAAAGTATCATCAAAATAAAATCTTCTTAAATCTCTTTTGTCTGTCATTGTGATACACATGTATTTCAATAAACTGATGAACTAATTCGAATTTGAACAAATGGCAACCCTTCTAAATAAAGGTCAGGAAAAAATCCTTTTCAAACCCATTTTGATTTATACCCATCTTTTAATAATTCATCCAACTTACTGAATAATTTGAATGTAACTTTTTAAACACGTGGCAAATCTCTTCAAACATTCGAAATGTTCAAAGTAATGATTTCTTAACATTATTTAGTTAGACTACGGTATTTTTATATTTCATATACTTTTTGAATTGGTTAATTGAGTTAGCCCTTTCAAACACTCTCTTCTTTCCTTTCTGAACTCTGCTTTGGTGGTATTACATCTTAGGTCTAGTTCGCACCACGCTTATCAACCATAATTCTCAACTGTCTTATAAAACAAATTCATACTACGCTTCTGTTGATCTGCGTAGCAAATACTTCTATCCTCTGATGAGTGGCCCGAGTGAGTGACATAAAATTATCTTGCCGTAATGACGAAGTAATTGGAAATTCCTTTGCCTGAGCTTCATGTGAGCAAACGTTTATTAATGCAAACCAAAAATCAGTAACAAATTAAACAGAACATTTCCATGACTCATCCATGAATTATTTAACGGTACTGTTGCTAATTTTTTAACGCCTTAAAAGGTCATGCCATAGAGTGCTGCTGGCTAAAATGAATCACAATTAACGCTAACACCAAAAGGAATAATAATAAGGAAATACGAAAACAAAGCAAAAGCTTCGCGAAAAATTTTCAACGCGTATGTGAAAAAAATGACAAAAGAATTAAATATCAACACGCAGAATTGTACATAACATAAAAAAGTGTCCACAAGATCAATGATACTTAGATAGCAATGGCGGTGGCAGTCACAAAAAAAGAATACCAAAAAAATAACACTAACAATAAAATACATACAGGTTATAGCAAAAACGAGAATCGACTTTAAAGAGCAAGAATTTCACATTGAAAATCACAGTCAATGTCCGTCAAATGCTAATGTCGCAACATTAAATTCACAATGATGCTAAGCGCATAATAAAACAGCAACAACAGAATACCATACAGCAAGACAGAGCCAATCAAAGCAGCAGCAACAGCTGTGTGTGTCCACCCGCCACCGTTCAGATGCATTCACATATAAATGATACCACAATTTATAACCACAACGTGTTACTTGCACGTCATTCAAGCGCAGTAGCACAACAATAAATTATGAACGGCAATAATCTACATACATATATGTACATACATACATACATACATACAACGAACAAAGTTGGCCGTAAGAACAAATGCAATCTCAGAAATATAATGGCAAACAACAGTAGTCTGAAGAGGACACGAGCAAAAATTGCACACAAAAAATTCAAAAAATTTATAAAAAAAAAAATATTAAAATAAAGAAATAATTATAAAACACACAATGAAAAATTGCATTGGAAAATCGCGTTTACTCCATTAACAATAATAATAAATACTTCACGCATTCATTTATATGTGTGTGTGTACATTAGGATAGGCCAAATTAATTTTTTTTCCCCAACTACATACCACCCAGAACTGTAGAATATCGGAAATAAGGAGACCCGTATTGTCAAATTATGATTCTTATTTAACTTTAAAATTTTACTATGTACTTTTTCATAATCTTAATCTTATTCATTAGTTATTTTAAAAAATTGTAAAGTTTCCATTCGTGGTTCTATTGTTGTAAGGGAAATATTTTTATTTGATCAAGCAATGTTTATCTTGAAATATTTTATATCAATTCTAAGAAAATAGTTATTTTCCCGACGTAAAAAATTCCAAAAAAAAATCTGTGTATTTTTTGAGCACTATAATGCTCATTCATATTGTTGAAAAGTCGCACGTTCCACCAAACAGTAGCTGTTACGAAATTTGACATTGCATATGCAAGTGTACATTTTCGCACAACATGCCTACATACATACATACATATGTATGCACATTGCAAATTCTTATATTTATTTAAACACATGCTCGCGTATGTAAATATACAACGGAGTTACCTCTGCGCACGCGCACAGCTAGGTGGGTGTTAATAACAACGTCAGAACGACGAACGCCAGTTTTCGTGCAGCTCCTGCACATCGTTTTTGAAGTAAATAAAAAAAAAATGCAGCATGATGCATGTGTTTATTTGTATGTACATATGTATTTACTCGAATACAGTGTGCTACAAAATTCAAGAGACTTATATACATACATAGTTATGTATGTATTTTTCTATATTTTACTAAACCCAAAATTTTAAGCGAATGGAGTAGAAAAAAAATTGTAAGGTAAATTAATAAAAAAGATATTGTCGCATGGAGAGATTAGGCATGTTTTACCCAAAAAAAAATAAAAGAAAGCACATAAAACACTAAAAAATAAGAATTATTTTCACAGCAACCCTTTGGAAATTTTCTAATGCAGTGTCTTTTATAAGTTGAAATATAAAAATTTTAAATTTTTGTATAAAAAAACAATAGGAAAATTTCACATTTGTGACTAGCACAAAAACAAGAATACGCTCAATTATTTTTATTTGTTTCCGCCAATTGCGTCTCTCTTTTGCCAAGTAGTCCCTACTGCTCCTGGTATATTCACCTGGGCAACATTATAGACATTATACACTGCTATATAATTCATCAACAACAATCAAATTTATTATTTTATAATTTTTATTTTTCAAGAATAATCGTTATTTTTTTAATCAGTTTTTGAGCGTAGTTTTTTATTTTTTTATTTTTTTCAGATTTTCTAGATTATAAAAGCTTTAAATCGGTCTACAACGCACTCTCCATTATAACGGTTAAAAAATAAAAAATCCAAAATAACGATTAAATTTGAAATAACAATTAAAAAAATAATGATTTTGTCGTGGTCTAAAAATTAAATCTTAATATTTAACGGTTCCTGCTATATTTTGATAATTTCTTTTTTTGCTTTTCAATTAAATGTAGCCTCATAAATGTTATTAGAATCTTCTGAATCACATCCATCTCAAAGCTTATTTTCCTATCACGAAACAACTAAATTCTTCATAAGAGTGCGTTCTCGCAGGAAGCGGGGCCGAGCCGACCGACGCTATTCCGAGCTTTCGAAATCAATGTAGCTATATGAATGTAATCAAATATTTTAGCCGATTTTCATTGAAGGTCAGTTTTGTGATATCTTCATGTAATAAGCTCTGCTCCGCTTCCTTCAGTGTGCACACCAGCAGCTCCGCTGCTGTCTTCCTTGTTTCACTCGGCACCTCTCGGCATTCTGTGTGAATGCATCCTAAGGCGCATCGAAATTATCACTTCGATGTCTCATAAAAATTCTGATCTTTACATAAATTTGCTATCAGCAATAATTTATTTTTTCATTCAAGTTGAGTCAAAAAAAATTGTTAAACACTGTACTCAAGTATTCCACACACATAAACATATGTACATATGTATGTACGTGCAGTTAAATGCATTTTATAAATAAAACTACCACAATGCTGACGACCAAAATCATCCGTAAACGCGGCCAAGGATGTCACTCAATATTGAAAAAATATATACATATATGTATGTATTTATGTATATGTAATGAAAACAAATACAATTTGCATGCACGACGAAGCAAACGAATGAGATATCTACTGCAAAATAAATTTACAACCTCACATAAACATTTTACATTGGCAACACTACTTGGAAAAAAAACTTATGAGAAAACAAATTTTTATAAAATATTGCAAACATTGCATAATAAAAGCAATTCTGAAAGAATATGGAAATTATGTTTGAAGACAATGTAATGCTAGAATGCTGTGAGTTTGCTTACAATTTATTACTAATCAAAAGCATTCAACTAGTCGACTAGCTTACTTGTGACTGACAATAATTATTTTGCTATAAGTTAGTTTATGTGAACGAGACTAAAATATTCTCAGAGAGGTCACAGGAGCTAATTGGAATAACTGTGGAAGGCCTCGCTAATTCTACACTTTCACATCAATGGAAACGGAGTCAGACGAGAAACTTCCTAATAATGCACATATTTCGTCTGTGTGAGCTTCAGTTACTTGCAAATTCTTCACACAGTAAATGCTGCACGCTTTCATCGTTAACTTCCACTGAAACCCAGAAATGAGGGAAATCCTCAATATTTTCATTTTAGGCATAGTTTTTTTTTATTTAACATTTCTTGTACAGCTTAAATATTTTTACCTGGTCATCAGAATATATGTATGTAGCTTTATGTTTGCTCCCGACGTTATTACCTAAGATTTTAGGAACTTCGAAAATGCCTGGAACTTCAGCTTGGAAGACACTTAAATCCTTTCTTCTTCTTCTTCTTATTTGGCGCTGTAACCGCCTAAGCGATTTTGGCCGAGTCCAAAACAGCACGCCAGTCATTTCTCTTCTGTGCTAACTGACGCCAATTGAAAATGCCAAGTGAAGCCAAGTCCTTCTCCACCTGGTCTTTCCAACGCAGAGGAGGCCTTCCTCTTCCTCTGTTACCAGCATCGCGGCCCGCGTTGAATATTTTCAGAGCAGGAGCGTTTCTGTCCATCCGAACGACATGGCCAAGCCAGCGGAGCCGCTGAATTTTAATTCGCTGCACTATGTCTATATCGTTGTAAAGCTCATACAGCTCATCGTTAAATCGTCTGCGATATTCGCCATCACCAACGCGTAAAGGTCCGTAAATCTTT